GCACGGGTTCGGGCTCTGCCTCGGATGAAGGTCGGGTTGGCAATATCCGAGATGGTGGAACAGGAGCCGGTGTCTGGCCGGACTCTACAACCGGCCGTGACCTACTTCTGCCCTAACCAGGCCGCCGCTCTTCCGGGCCAACTCCAATGCCTGCTGCCACGCCGCCGTTTGACTCCACCCTAGCAGTCGAATCCACGCCGCCGAGTCCAACCCGACCTTGCCCCGTGTCCGTCCTTGCTTTCGATCGGGCTCTTCTAGGAAGCTCGTGCGATCGGGACTTTGTGCGGTTCCTACCGATCGAGCGGAAGAGTAGGATCGGGTTCTCGTTCAGCTATCGGGACAGACTTCCGATTGGCTTCGAAAGGGTCTTCCGCACGGACAGTTTCGGACGGGTATGACCGCTCCTTCGTCTCCTTCGTTTCCCTCGTGGCTGTTCGTCTAGGCTCCTTCGACGATAGTTCTGACGGAGTCGAGGCGTCCGTCTGCGGCAGCGACGGGCAGAATTGGCACTTCTGCTTCGGCCTCTTGCAGCGTCAGAAGGTTGGATCGTTCAGCAATGAAGGCCTCTCGATCGGCTCTGATACCATGTCAAAACAGAGAATTTGAGAGTGAAAATCTTTTAATTTTATTATGCAATCTACTCCCTATTTATAGATTTATACAAGGTGTATTGATAAGGAAACAAATAACTCTTATAATAATGAGATTACAATTATTCCTAAATCAATGGAAGGAATTAATGCTATCCAGGTAGTCTTCCCACGGATTACTGTTCTCAGCCGTTGATATCTTTGGGATCGTAAGGTTGAGATTTAACAGTTTTAAATGAAGATCCCACACACAATCAATAAAACAATATAATGCAAAAAATGATGCACAATTTTTCACATGACAACCCAAAAATGGAAAAGACATGGGCCCTAGGTTAGTTGAAACACATTTCACTAATTTTAGTCTTAGATTATAGAGGGTTGACCTTGCTTAAATTTGAAGAGGTCATTGGCACTATATAGAAGAGCTAAACTTTGGTTTATGTCTCTTGTTGTCGTGGTGAAGGGAGTTTGTAGGCCATAGTTTTGATTATGTTGCAAAAGGATTAAGATGACCTTTTTCCTTGAATAAGAGGAGGAAATTGAACAAAGTGGGTGATTAAGATGACCACTTTGTGGAAGAAGGGGGAATCAAATGACCTTGAGTCATTGTGCAACTGGTGGTGGTTAAGACGATTCCTTTCTTAGAAAAAGGTGGAATTAAATGAACTAGAGGTGGCGAAGAAAGTTAGATGGGAAAACTTGAGACAACTAACTAATGCTTCAAGTAGCAGTCAAAACTATAGAATTCTTTACAATCCAAGAATTTCACCTCGGTTCCATATGTTTAGGATGTGTACAATTAAAATATATTTATGGATTTTGGGATGAGCTTTTTGGCCTTTTTTTACTAGCATCTTCAAAATCGGCATGAACATAGATGGCCCATGTCTCACCCTCCTTCACATTGGAAAGCAACCAATGTTGACCCAGTAGGGCCACTTAGGCTATGGTAGGATCGGGCATTTAAGTTGGGCTGATAATAGTGGTTCGATGATGATTGCTCCCCATGATTTCTCCAATTAACAACTAAAATATATTATTTTAAACACTCAATGCCTTGTGTCCAATGGACTTAACATATTGAAATTCGAACCGTTGTATTGCTAGAATATTTTCAGGAACATTCGAAAATCAAATTTATTTACTTTTGAAAAAGATTATAAGGCCATAATTTGGTATAAAAGATATCTTTAGGAGCAATCTAGCATCACAAATGACTTTTGAATTAGATCCATGTAGCGTTCCAATAATTATAGGCATGTTTTGAGGTCAAATTTGGTGTTGTCAAGAAACAAAAATGATACGACACCTTTTTGTGTTGAGATAGTCATCTTCTTCAGAGGAATCCAACTCCTAAATAGCCTGTGAATTAGAGGCCTTAAGAGGTCAAAGGAGCTCTGGAAAATTTTGATCTACGAGGGATACTTGCATAAAATGATTAAAATCTATGACTTCTAATGTATACAAGATCAGAGGAGTCTCACTCATGATGTCAGAGTGCTTGTGGATTAAGATCGATTGTTTATGCTAGCTAGGGTAGTGGCAACGATTGGCTAACACTTCTTGCCCTTGAGCTGTTTGACTTGCATGAATAGGGAGGAAGAAGGGGCTTGATTTGTCTCTTGAATTGGGTTGATCTAATTTGAGCTTTCTTATGGCCCAAATATGCTTGAAATCAAATGTGTTTTTCTACCATTTTGATTGTAAGTTTGCATTAATCGAAGTCGGTTTAGTTCTTGAAAAATTTTTTTAGCAATCATCAAATAAGCTTTTGAGTGCTTAAAATTATGCTTGATTTGATGGAAAATTGTGATTCAATAACCCTTTAGCTTCTTCAAATTTTGTACGTCCAAATTTGCATATCCAAAAATATCCCATTAAAAAAAATTAAGGCTAGAAATTATAACCTTAGAAAAATTTCAAGGTGTAATATGAGATCCCTTTTGGACCATGAACCAAGTTCTAATCCATCAATTGCAACTTTATGTATTTGGTAGTTTTGGCATCATTGGCGCTCTTTTTTGGTAAAACATTTCCCCAAATATTTGGTCCAAACATTCTATTCTACTCATAATTAGTTTTAGAGGGTGTTGCTAAGGACCAAAAGTGTGAATATTGGAATATTGATAAATGATTATGGTGGTCCAAAAATACCCAAAAAAATTAGTCAGAGCCCAATAATGAACCCGAATGGGTTAGGGGTGTCCCATGGCCTAGATAGGCAACAAATAGTGCTGGTTGGGGCCGAGTTGGGTGCCAACGTTAGTGCCCAGTAAATGTTTCCAATCTTCCATTAAAATTTATATTTGAAAGTAAATTTTTTAGGGGTTATTTGGTTTGTAATTGCAAATATTAATAATGTAAAGTAAAAGAAATACGATTGATTTTTGTTTGGTGTTTGCTTCGATTTAAGCAAAATATAAAGCATTTGTATAAGAGATTTGTAGTAGTCATAATGCCATTTTTTATGAATATTGAATTTTCTCCCATTTCAGGCAAATTCCAAGTGCAAAGAAATTTCATAGCCCATAACAACACATTCCGATGTCGGCATTGCTGCCACTAACACCGATGCCCAATTTCTTATCCTCATCGTTGAAGTCATCACCATCGTCATCGCTTTCCCCATTGTTGTCACATCATTCACTATGACCATTACCATCGCCCTAATCGATGCTGCAATTGCCTCTGCTTGATGCTAGCTGTTGTAGCCACACCCTCGTCATCTCCTGTCACCAGTGTTGTTGCTATCATTCACGTCTCTGCTTAAGCATGACCTTATGGCATTTTAATGCATTTAAAATGCATTTTAATAAATACAAAAAACTATTTCAGTGTATTTACTTTGTATCAAACTAAACAACTCATACTTTTTTAAAATATACGCATTTCAATTACTTTGCATTTCCAAGATGCATGTATTTTAAAATCATCCAAGCAAGCATCTCCTTTGGGATCTTGGTTTCTTAAAACTAAAAGAAATCTAATGAAATTTCTTAAATTCTCCAAAACAAAGTCCAAAGTTCCTCTAGTATCTCTTGATAAAAGAAAATTGTGTATAACCCTCATGGGCTTTAGGGAAATCCACTATTTTGCTTCACATTATTTAGTTTTCCTTTGAATATGAGTTACAATTGGCAGCTTAATCATCTTGGTTTCTAGGTTTAGGTCTTCATTTATATAGAAGTTTTTTATTTTGAAAAAAGATATAGTTGTAGACCTAGGTACCCTACTTTGTGGCCTAGTTTTCTTCTAATCGAAGCTGATCAACTAAAGAAATATGATACTAGGTGAGAGAGATGAAATTGGTGGCAGTGTCATTTCAATGAGGGGGAATCAAGGTGACGAGAAAAGGAGAATTGAAGATCTTCACTGGCCTACTCCTTAATAATTTCTTGGAGATATAGGTTCCTATGGGGCAATATTTCTTGGAGATATAGGTTCCTATGGCCCCACGTATATGTCGACTACTCCTTAGATTTAAACTTGACATGTGACCAGGCTTTTTCAAAACTGTGCAGAGTATCCAAATGCCCTGAAGTTGCGGATTACCTTTGAGAGGTGCCCATGTTTCATAGCTTTCATGTATTTATTTCAAACCTCTGTATGGAAACCTCTATATGGAAGTTTAGTTCGTATGGTTGATTATGTTTTTATGCATGTTGTCCTCAAGAATGCTTTTTGTCTATTTTATCTTATCGGTCACAGTGCACTTTTCTTCAAACTATTGTAAATGTCAGACATTATTCCTGATTCTTCTATCCAGTTTTAGTTTAAGCTTTATAAAAAAATTAGAAAGTTGGCATTGGAAATGAGTGCAGTTTGACGTTCTCGAGTGTTTATATTGAACAGATAGCGCAGTGTTATTACTTAACTAGTTTTTGTGAAGGACCAGTTTGAATCAAATAAGCATAACGCAAGTTTAGAAATTGAGTTATGATTGCTCCAATTGAGCAATTAGGCATTGGAAATGATTGTAGTTTGAAGTTCTTTAATGTTTATCGTTGAGTAGAAAAGGTTGTGTTATTACTTGTTAGTTTTTGTAAAGTACAACGAACAACAACAACAAAAAATTTTCTCATCATGTGGGGTTGGCAGTTTTTTTAACAGTTTGAATAAAGTAAGCATGACCTAAGTTTAAAAATTGAGTTTATTTTATATGATTCTGAAACTTTTTAACGGCTAATTTTTTTTTATTTTTAACTTTCTCGTGTGCCATCTCTTTGAAGTCCTAATCTCCTATATATATAAAGATTCTGGTTTTGGACATCATTCCTCCTTGCTTTCATATCTTAAATTCTCTCTTTTTTTCTCCTTTTTACATATATATTCTGGTTTTAGACATCATTCCTCCTTGCTTTGACATCGTAAATTCTCTCTATTTTTTTACTTCTTGATGATTTCCAGGAAGGTGAGACTATCCGGATAAATGTGAAGAGCAAACCTTCTAGCGGCACTGGCATGCTTTCAGCAGCTGGAATGTCCGGAGCGGCCTCTAACACCAAAAAACCAGGGGCACTTCTTGCACCACCACCTTCTGGAGGTGGAAAGATGAGGTCTCCACTACCTCCTCCACCCAATGATCCTGCAGTTACTAAGATGCATTCTGGAAGCAGTGCTCTCATGGCCAATGAATCAACTAGGCGCTCTGCCGATCCTTTATCTGATCTTTCTCAGTTGGAGGTGCTAAACCCTTTATTTTTTTTTTAATTTGATTTTTTCCAGTTTTCTAAATACATGCTAGTGTGCCTGCATTTGGACTCATGAGAGGTTTCAAGGTGGAACTTGGTTAATTATTTAGGCAGCTCATTACCCAAATTAGGCACCAAAAATAGCTAAGGAAACCATAGTGATTACATATATTAGCCTTTCAGTATATTTAGAGTGAGCGATGTGGAGAGGGGATCTTATCGAAAGAAGGAAGGTAAAAATTCAATTCAAGCATGACAGCCTGACTGAACTCTGAAAATGAAGGAAAATCATAATAATCTTTGAGCTCTTTTTTTGATTCCGGATGAAGACCAAAACAAGAGGAAACCTCATGCCCTTGAACTTTACAAGGAGAATAGGAGAGTAAAATTTTAAGCAAAACTTGGGGATTATTTCCATTATGCTCTGTGACGTTTCAAATCTCTATAGTGTGCTTTTTGAGTAAAAATCCATTTCGAGCAAAACATGAGTAATAGAGGAACGTGATAAAGAAGTCATCACATTTTCAGTTCTCAGGGGATTGCTGAGTACAGAGAAATTAAGGTATCCCGATTAACCAAATGAGCTTTGAAAAGAGGAATGCCAACCAACATTGGGCAAAAGGAGATAAAAGATATAACCAAAGTTATCAGTTTTAGGATAAGAACATGTTGTGGATCCAAATATTCAATATAAAAGGAACTCAAGAGCATTAGATTATGAAAAGACTTCAAATATCCTCTATCAGGGGCCAATGGAAAGAACATTTACAACCAATAGTAAAATCTAATGATTTATGAAGAGTCGACAATTTCCTCTCCAATGAGTCGAAGTGTATTGATTAGCAGTATACTTAGATATACTTTTGATGCCATTTGATATTGAATCTTCAAACTTTCTCATCAAAATCTAAGAACGATCCATTGAACAACACATAAATCATACTAGGAACTTGAGAGGAGTTGGGAGAATCATCCATTGATGTAACAAGAGCCATCAGAGCAAAAATCTATGGCAAGAGTGATCTACCACAATCCACCGGACTGGTGTGGAAGGGATAAATTGCTAGTTGGGAGGAAGGGCATTGAGTACAAAACAAAGCAAGAAGCATTGCTATCCGTCAATGGCCTCATTGAGATCATCTGCCAAGCATGAATGTGTAAATGGACGGAGGAGCCACAGTCGATTCAGAGGAAATGAACCCAGGATATGGAATAACAGGTTCTGTGTGCAAAGAATACATGAAATTAAGTGGAGTTTTTGCAGGCGATGTTAGGGACAATGATGCATGAGGGATTGAATAATTTGGCAATGGAGATCGCAGGTGATGATGAGAGAGTAACTACATACATGGTGGCTGCTTAAATCTCTAGGAATTAAAACGAATTTAAAACAAGTTACTAGCTTTTTTTTTAATATTTAAATTAGATGCATGTATCATATGTGCCATCCAACTATTTTATTTATAATTAAGTAAATGTATTTGACGTGTTGAATTGTGTACGGTATCTTAGACTTTATATAAATGCATCCAATTATTTGAAATTATTAGGTTGGGTATGATTCCTGACTTCTTTGGATGTACGCTAGTTTCTTTGGAGAAATTATTTTGTGCGGACACCAGACGGAGTGGATTGTCCGTATTTGTTGCGTTTTTACTGCTCTTTTGTTGCGGTTTTGAAAAAGGACAGTAAAAGGACAACAAATATTCAATTACGAATGTATTTTTACTGCCATGTTGTTGTGCTTTTACAAATACTCAATAAAGCGCAACAAATATTCAATTATTTAGTAAATAATAAATATTTGTTGCCATTTTTCAAAAGCGCAGCAAAATGACAGTAAAAACGCGGCAAATCCGGACTGTTCTCTTCGGCTGATATCCGTACAGAATAATTAGTCGCTTCTTTGAGCAGGCTTCTACATAGAATATTTAACGCTTTGCATACCTACAAAATCTGGAAACGTGATTGAAACATTTGGTCAACTTTATAGTTTGCACTACTTTTTTTTTCTTGTAATTTTACTGTTAAAATATAAGTTCCTCGCTTTGCATAAACTAAAGAATGCGGTAATTATAGATTTTGGTTTCATTTAGGACAGCTTTCTTACTGCTTTTTGAAGCAAATTTTTAATATAAAAATTAAAATTAAAATTTGCTATAAAAAACATTAAAAAAGTCGTCCCAAACGAAACCTTTGTCCTTTTTTCATCAATTTCCACCATAATCTTTCTTTAATGTTCTTAATCATAATCTTCATATTGAAACACTAATGAACATTACCATTTCATTTCTTGGCGACTTGCAGAGAAGTTTGCCATCTACCAATTCAACCGTGCATCCAACGAGTACAACATCATCAGGATGGGCAGCATTTTGAGCTCATTAATACGTAATCGCTAATCGCCAAAGTTATTGTACCTATAAAGAGAAGCAAATGAGCAGTAATAGTATACAGAGCCGATTCTTTGGCATTCAGTGTGAATCGCAGATGTGCCAGACGTGCTTGGAAGCTTTTCATGTCATGATGACTTTCTCTTTAACTTAATGGATTGGAATGCGATGCTAGAAATCTGCATCCTTCTATTGTTCGAATGACCAGTAATATAACTATGCATTTGTGCTTCTTTTGCTTTTTTTATAATGATTTATGTCTTGTCTTCTTTCCAATCTGAATGTCTTGGTAATGAAAAAAAACCAAAAAAAGCGAAATATTGAATTGGTTTTATAATGGATGCAGATGGCAAAATCTTACCGTTTCAAGTGTTCGTTTGTACTCTTACTGCCAGTTTGTGTTTAGTATTCAAAACTTGTGTTGTTTTTGTTTTAGCAGATATTGTAGAAGAACATAATGGGGGGTTAGTGGTAGCCATCGACAATGGTCATCAATAGTTGCAGCTAGATGTGGTGGTAATAGGTGGTGGTGAAGGGTGTAGATAGGGAGAGATTCTTTTGTGCTGACGCCAGACGGTTCGGAGACCAATCCGAACGCGCCACGTCAATCTGTACCGAGCGGTATAGAGTTAAAAAGTGACGTGATGCATTCTGGTTGGTCTCTGGACCCGTCCGGCATCCGCACATAATAATGTTTTGTAGATAGGTGCGGTCAGTTGCCAGCGGATGGTTGTTGGTGGGGAGTGAGGGGATAGTGGCAGCGGCTCTTGGAGTTGGCAGAAGTGGGTGGAGTAGTTTTCATTTTGGAAATAAATGTTAACATCTTAAAAATATATCAAAAATATTATTTTCACTATTTTAAAATATAAACATATTTTTTAAAATAAAAACATAAAAAATAAATCGAGTAATTATTCTTTATAACGAAAAACAAAAATAAAAAATGATTCTACACATGCCCAAGTAATGTTGCAGTGAAGTAGTGTTTAGACAAAAAATTTAAGGCTTTTGGAATGGTGGTCTAGATTTTGCAAAAAAATTATGCTTGGTCTATTGGAGAAATTATTCTGTGCGTAGTTCAGACGGGAAGAATCATTAAGATTTGTGAGTATATATAATGTGTAAATATTTGTATATAGTGTGTATGAAATTAGTGTATATATTATTTATACATAGTGCGTATACTAATAATCCAAACGATTGTTCTCATTCAGACTCCGCACAGAATAATTTCTCATTCGATTGGCACATACAGTTATTGATAGTTGATAACATAAAAGAAAATTGTTCATTGATAGTTGATAAACACTGCCGTTGCCATATCCCAAGTTTTGGATGAGAAAAGTTGAGGGTTGCATTAGGTAGTCGACAGCAAGTGTAAAACTTGTCGAATAATAATGACATGAATCCTTTAAGAAATTGTGTTAATGCTAGGGCGTCCCCTGAAAGCGACGCGATGTATAGCTTGAATACAATGACAAGTATGCAAGAGCTGCTGCACCGGTGCCTAGGTGCAGTGTTAAATATGCAAGGGTTCCCATATCAAAGATGGATATGAGCAAAAAAGTTAGTCCATAAAACTAAAATTAGGATAGTAACTTGGAATATAGGTTCCCTTATAGAAAAATAAATGAAATTAATAGATATTATGATTCATTAAAAGTTAAATATTTTGTGCATTTAAGAAACTAAATTGGTTGGAGAGAATGCTAAGGAGATTGATAGTTTAAGATTTAAATTTTATTATTCGGGTAGGAGTATTAGAAATAGTGTATGTGTTATTATAGATAAGAGTTTGAAGGATAATGTTATAAAAATTAATAGGATTGGAGATAGAATTATAACTTTAAAGATTGTTGTTGATGCTAAGATTGTTAATATTATAAATGCTTATGCTCCTCAAGTAGGTTTGGATATGAGTTCAAAATTAAATTTTTTGAATGACTTAGAAGAATTAATACAAAAGATACCTCTTGAAGAAATAGTTCTTATTATAGGAGATTTAAATGGACATGTTGATAGATAGGTAGATGATTTTAAAAGCATTCATTGGTGGTCATGGGTTTGGAACGATAAATGAAGGTGGCAAGATCATATTAGATTTTTATTTAGCTTATGATTGTTTAATTCTTAATATCTTATTTAAGAAAAGGAATGAGCATCTCATTACTTATAAAAATGGATATATTATAACTCGAATTGATTATTTTCTTATAAGAAAATTCGATCGTTTAGATTGCAAAGATTATAAAATTATTCCAAGTGAAAATTTATGTACCTAACATCGATTCTTAGTTTTAGACTTTAAGATAAAAGGACAGAAAATAAAAAATAAAGTAAAATAATATTATAGAATTAGATCAGGCATTTAAAGAATATTAACAAAAATAGTTTTGAGAGTAAGATTTTAGATCTTAAGATTTTTTCTGTGTATGAGGATACTAATATTATGTGAAAAAAAGTGGCTTGTGATATTAGTAATATTGCAAAAGACGTGCTTGGGGTATCAAAGGGAAAAACTCCTAATAGTAAAAATAGTTTGTGGTGGAATCCAAATGCGCAAGAAAAGATTAAAAATAAGAAGATTTGTTATAATTATTTAATTAGTTGTAAAAACTCTAATAATTAAAAAAGATATAAAGAATCTCGTAAGGAATTTAAAAAAGCAATATACGATACAAAGACCTTAACTTTTAGTGATTTATATAATAGATTAGATACTAAGGAGGGAGAAATATATATGTATAAGTTAGACAAACAAAGATATAAGAGTAGTAAGGATTTAGTTCAAGTGAAGTGTATTATGAATGAATATCAAAATTTACTTTTTTTTAGAAGATAGTATTCAACAAAGGTGAATGAGATATTTTGTTAAATTTTTTAATGAAGATTATGAAAATAATAGTGACTGTAGAGACCTTAGCACCCTAAATGAAAATAAAGATTGTTGTTTTTATCTGTGTATTAATAAAACTAAAGTTAGAGAGGCTTTACATAAAATGAACGGTGAAAAAGCTGTTGGACCTGATGATATTTCAATAGATGTGTGGAAATACTTAGGAGATGAAGAAATTTCTTGGCTTACTAAACTTTTGAATATTGTTTTGAAGACTAAAAAGATGCCAGATGAGTGGAGAATGAGTATGTTAATCCCTATTTTTAAAAATAAAGGTGATGCACAAGATTGTGCAAATTATAAATGAATTAAGTTAATGTGTCATACTTTAAAACTATGGAAGCGAGTTATGGAGCATAGGTTGCGACGTGACACTAATGTTTTTCAACTATGGATTATGGAAGCCATACATTTATTAAGAGGTTTGATGGAGAAATATATAGAAAATAGGGAGGATCTACATATGATATTATTGATTTAGATCATATGATAAGGTTCCAAGAGAAGTGCTATAGAGAGTTCTTGAAAATAAAGGAGTAAATAATGCTTATATTCAAATCATTAAAGATATGTATGCATGAGATATTACTTGTGTTCAAACACAAGATGGTTTGACCAAGTTTTTTTCCTATTTCAGTTGGATTACATCAAGGATCAGCCTTAAGCCCATATCTTTTTGCTTTAGTCATGGATGTTCTCACTAGACATTTGCAAGAGGATGAAGCATAATACTAAGTTAAGCGTGGTAGAGATGAGGATGCTCAGGTGGATGAGTGGCTTTACCCTTAGAGATATGATACAAAATGAGCATATATGTGAAAAGGTTAGAGTGGCACCAGTAGAAGATAAGATTAGAGAGAATCACCTTAGATGGTTTGGTCACATAAAATGGCGGCCTTCCGATGACCCGGTTAGGAAAGTAGAGGTATTAGATTTGAATTATATAAAGAAAGGTAGAGGCAGACCTAAAAAGACTTGGTAAGAAAATATTAGAAATGATCTTTCTTATTAGATTTAAACGAGAATTTGACTTTTAATAAGACACAATGGATAAAAAAGGATTCAATTAGCCGATCCCACGTATTGGGATAAAGACTTTAGATTGTTTGTTGTTGTTGTTAACCGGTAAAACAACCACCTTTTTCTTCATTCTTATAAACGTTAATTGTACTACTCGTTTACTGTTCCATCATGCTCGTTTCCCCACTGAACTATCTTATTGCTTTCTCCACAAAGTGTTCAAACATGATCATTCTTAAGTGGCATCCTAATCAACAGTGAATATGAGACAACTTCATTCCATGATCATTCCTTCTGTCTTTCTACGAGAAAAGTGACAGACATAGGACTTTTCACAACCTGGCCATTACAAACCCGAGAGAGCTCTTCACACCATGATCATTCTTACAAAGTTAAGGTGACAGATATGGGACTCTTCACAACATGGTCGTCGGAAACCCAGGAGAGCTGCCCCACCGCTGCGCCACCACCGGCCAACTTACCCCTATCTGCTGTGAGCACAACTTGAAACCTTCTGGCATCATAGCGCCGGGGAAAGTAAAGCCTGGGAGGAAAAACCTCCACCTTTACCCCTTCCGGCCTCTCAATCTTGGCATAATAGGTCGCATTGTCCTCTCCCACGTTCTTCACCCACCTACTCACCGTCTTCGTCGACGGCGAGCCCAGTGCAACCGATATCGACGGGTAGTTCAGCTGCTCCGGCCCGAGCTCACGGCGGTACCTCCAGCATCTGGCGTGGTGCTGGGTGATCGTCGTCACTTGACGGTCGGTGTATCCAAGCCCGCACAGATAACGTTTGTACCTGTGCGAGTGCAGATTGTACACGAGTCCTGGATTATTGGCTTTTGAGGGATTTACTTGTCCTGCTCCCATGGCGAAGCGGCTGGCCGCAGTGGCGTTGTTGAGCTGATCTGTGATTGGGTTTCCTTCTGCATCTTCTGTGTCTGCTGATGTCATGATAGCTGATTTGATCGCCGAAGCAGACCAATGAGGATGAACGCTTCGTAGAAGAGCTGCAATTCCGGAAAGATGGGGAGTGGCTGTAGAGGTTCCGCTCTGAAAATTGAAATTTGGTTCTGTAGACGAAGTGGTGATATGGTTATCAGGACCGACCTTGCTCGGCCATGCCGCCAATATGTTCACGCCAGGGCCAATGATGTCTGGCTTCAGAATTCCACCGTTGTGCAAGCTTGGCCCCCGCGACGAAAATGATGCCACCGCCGGAGAGGAAAGAGCACCGAGACTCGTTCCGCCGAATACGAAAGCCGCCGTAGGATTCGAATTCGCCGAATAATTGTAGTATGATAAGATCGAACACCTGGCTGAGTAGCTCAAATGAGCTGCAGGAAGGACATGAGATTCTGATAAAGTCGTCTCTCCTTCCTCCGCTTGGTTCAACACAATCATGGCAGCTCCTCCCGCGTTTCTCACATTCTTACCTTTCTCGATATTCTCCACACCAAACCCAGTCTCACACAATACGATTTTCCCGCCAATATCAACTCCATCAAACGAATCGTTTCTGCAACCTTTACTCCCGCCGCCCTGGATTTCAAATCCCGGGAATGTAAGAGGCAGCGCTTCCGTTGAATTGAAATAGCTTGGCTGGTAAGCTGATTCTCCTACAAGTTCTGTTCCGTCTCCGAGCTTCACCGTCACCGTAATCCTCCGGTCAGTAGTACTCGCCCCAACCGTCAAAATCCACGGCGCATCATTCGCCACCGTCCCCTCCACCGGCCCACCATTTCCCGCCGCTGCTACCGTCAATATCCTCTGTCTCAGCGCCGAGTAAGACCCAATCGCCACACTGTCTTCATAAAAAGGCCGAGAATCATCAGAACCAAATGAAATGGAAATCAGATCGACTCGATCGTATATAGCCTGGTCTATTCCGGCGAGCACATCGCTATCTGCACAGTCACCTTCAGAGCAGACTTGGTAAACGGCGAGGTGAGCTTTGGGCGCCATACCGGCCGAGACGCCCTTACCGTTGCCGAGGACCTCTGCGCCCTCGACAAAGACGCCAGCGGCGATGCCGGCAACATGTGTGCCGTGCTCGGTGTGGTTGTTGTCAGCCGGAGATAGAATGCGGCAGCTACTGCTGAATGACTTGACGCCGATGATTTTGTTGTTGCAGGGGAAGGTGTCGCAGCCGCCTCTCCAGTATGGCGGCGGCTGCGGCATCCCGTTGTCGTTGAAGGAAGGGTGGCTGATATCTACGGCGGTGTCCAGGATTCCGATGATGGTGCCTCTGCCATAGTCGGCGGAGGTCCTCAGAAAAAAAAAAAGAAAAGAAAAAGGAAGTAGGAATTAAGGGATGTTTAATACAATCGCATCTATAAATCTTCAACAAAATTTATTTATTTTTCGTAATTTCTGAAGGTATTATTTGTTACATAATAAAATTTCTAAATTCTATTTTATTTTTATATTCACTATAGGGATTATTTTAAAGGTATAAAATTGATAAATTATTTTGTCATTTTAAAATAGTTATGGTACATTTAACAACTAAGTAGATGAATCAATTCATAAATTATTTTTTTTGAACTTAAATCAATACATAAATCACCTTATTTTAATTTTAAAATAATTAATATATTTTCAAATTAATTTATAGTTTCTAGTAATTATTTTAAGCTTCAATTCCAGTTTATACTTAAATTTATACTTTCTAATATGCGACGAAGTTTAAGCTTAAATTCAAATTCATATATTATATAAGTTTGAGCTTGAGCTCAACCTTGTCCCTGCTCAGTTCATCGGCGTCCGAACTTGTCCAGACTCCGCATATAATAATTTCTCCTATACACTATAAGAAAATAAGAAGAAGCAAATAAAATATTTCTTTCTTGGCATTAGTATTAGATTTATTTTCAAAATATTTTTAACATTTGGGCATTTGTTTTATGAGTAACATATCATCAATGCTCCTTAATCAACTCAGTAAATATTTATCATGTGAAATCCACAAATGATTATAAATTTCTACATAGATGGAATCCAAAGTTTATTTCTTATAAATTATAAAAATTATTTAATATCAAATAAATATAATTATTTGCATAAAGTAAAATAATTATAAAGCTTTATTTCTATTTTATATCTATTTAATTATTTTATAGCTATCAATAGAGTAATTCACATATTTGTCACAATAATAATATTTTGCTTGTAAATATCAAATCAATTTATTCGAAAGGAAAAAATATTTATTAAAAATAAAATACATTTTTATGTATTTTATTTTGATGTGCTTAAATAATTGAATATTATATAAATAAATATTAAATTAAATTATTAGTTATGCAAATAAATAAAAAGTATAGTATATTCATGTAAATATCCCTAAAAACTAATAAAAAATTTATCCAATATGAATCAATACCAGAAGCCGCCGCTCTTACTCAGGCCGAGGAACTCCGGCGTATGTGTGGTGAGCAGACGTCGCCGGCGATCAACATAAGCATGTAGAAAGCCGTTAATAGATCTCATTGCTCGAGCTTCATCTGCCGTCAACCTTGCCGCGAAGCCACTTATAGCCTCGCGGTAGGAATATATAAGGCGCGGCTCGCCGGAGTCTAGAGTGGCGTTAGGGAGAAAGGAGAGGTGATAACTTGTCAGCCACTCGTCATCGAATAAAAGACTGGTGTTTTCCGGCCTCTCAACGTGCACAATATAGGTGGTGACTTCAGTTCGATCGTCGCCGGCGATCACCGGAAGGAGCAGGGCTTGTGTTGATAGAAGAAGGGGTGATGAGAGGATGAGGAGGAGTAATAATGTGATTGAAGGGGAAGAGAAGGAAAACGCCATTGAGATGTGATGGAGAAATGAAGGGAAGGAATGTGAGAGATTGGAGATGAGAAAAGCGTGAGCTTTGGATGCATTTCTTCAATCATTTGATTGGTAATGGAAGAGGGTACATTGCTCATAGATAGGATTTTTAATTAGGGTGAATGAGTGAGTGTCATTTGAATTACGATGAAATAAACAAATAAAATACATATAGTTATATGATGAATTTGAAAAAAAAGAGAGGAAATTTATAGAAGAAAAATGAATGGCATATTATGAACAAGTAATATTTGAATTTAAGAAAATAAGAAGTCTTCTTTTGCATTATAATTTATATTAGGGGCGTCAATTTCGGGTCACAGGTCGGGATCGGGTCGAACTACTATTCTGGTCAACTCGAACCCGACCCGTTTTTGAAAACGGATCAATTTTCCTGACTCGAACCCTACCGCTTCGGGTCTGGGTCAACTCGACACTGCCCGAATGACCCGTTTCCAACAAAAATTTGCTAGTTTTCGGGTCAAAAAAGAGTCTATCTCCTCTTTCTCGGGTAAAAAAATGGGTATGCCTCCTCTTTTTCGGGTAAAAAAACGAGTCAAAATCAGGTCAATCTCGGGTTGCCGGGTCAAAATCAGGTTTTCAGGTCAATTTTGGGTCAAAGGGTTAACCCGAACCCGGCCCGATTTTTGAAACGGGTCGAAATGTTGAAGAACCCGACCCGTTTCGGGTTCTGGTTGCCCCTAACCCGAAATTTTCTGGTCAGATTTGAGTCGGATTTTCGGGTCGTGTCAAATATTGACACCCCTAATTTATATATGGATCCACTCCCATAGCAAATCGTGAGTCCAAGTTGGCCTCACAACATATTAATATATGTCATTACATCTCTATTTCAAAACTAGGGCCTAATTATTCTCTCACTAGTAAATTATAATGAAAATTAGGGGTGGTAAAATGGGTGATGAGTCAAATTTCGGTCTAATCAGAATTCAAGCAATCTGAACCAAATCAGTTTAATAAACGGGTTAAAAATACCAACTTGAATCTAACCCACTAGCAATCCAAATGAACCTAACGTGTTTTGGTTAAAAAAAATAATTTTATAATTTATTAACTATAAATTTTAGGATATTTGATTAAAAAAAAAAAAAGAAAACTATACCCACAAATAAATAAATAATAATAATAAATGAGTTTTTTTTGGATAAAAAAGACATTTGCAGGTCAAATTGAACTCAACACTGGTCAAAACATCTAAACCAAATCGTACTCGAGTCAACCTGACCAAGATTTCTTGATTCAAATTCGAGTTAGGTTATTTATTGATATCCTTGATGCAAACGGGAGCTGACATCTACAGCAGTCCTTTAAATTAAACATTGATAAAGTAATAGAATATAATTTAATGTTAAAATTTTATTTAATTATCAATGATAGAGCTTGCATTATATTTTCAATAATGCGATCTGATGATTTAAGGAGATTATTGGTTAATTAATTAAACTTAATAGGAGAGGGGGGAAAGAATCCAACAAAATGATTGGCTCTTGATATTTCTTATGTGAGAAAATAAAGAAAAAATGATAATAAAGATGAGATAATTTTATTGTGAAATTTATGATATTACATATTTTATCTCTTCTTCTAAATCATTAATAGGATATTAGTACATAACTCGACAAAATTAGAGATCTGTATTGGGAGAGATTTATTCTGTGCGAAGACCGGCGCAGAATGCTGTTAGGAGACCAATCAGAATGCGTCACGTCAGCGGTACCGAACAGTGGTACGAGCAGTGGTACAGAGCGGTACTGAGCATATCGAGCTACAACACTGAGCAAGGGTAACGTGACACATTCTGATGATCTCTAAACGACGTTAGACATGGGCATAGAATGTATGATTGGGTACATTGGGAGAGACTAGCTTATGAGGTGTTAGAGTTGAATGTAAACTGTGTTGCTAGAGAAATATTAGTGACCGTTATTTTTCTTATAGAAATAAGTCGTGGAAGATGTTCGTTGAACCAGTTTGAAATTTGAACTTGTGGATGATGTTCGTTGGGGAAGGCCTAGCGATACATTGGCATGTGTTGGAGAAGAGAAGTTTGCAATAGGAGGTCCTTGGTGTCACGCCTCAATGGAATTGATGCGTTACAAGAGCTTGTTGTGGAAGTCATCCTAGTACTGTTCTTAGTCAGAGGCATCGTCAAGGAAGGAAGAAGATGGCGGCTTCCGCGGTTCAAGCAGCTCAAACCGCTGCCACTGCCGCCGCCGCCGCAACAACCAAATCCATTGCCAAATCTCTCCTCTGCGATCCCTCCTCAATCCATTCGCGATGCCAAGCGCAACAACTCCACGCCCAACTTTTGAAAGGCTACTCTTTTACCTACACTTCTTCCTCCATCCTCGCCATATACTCTCGCCTTTGTCTCCCTGACGATTCTTTTCGTGCCTTCTCCTCCATTCCCTCACCTTCCTCCTCTTCCTGGACCTCTATCATCAGCTGCTCCGCTGCTGCTGGTCTCTTCTCTCTTGTACTTTCGCTCTTCCAACGCATGCGCTCCACCGGCGCTCCACCCAATCACAAACTTCTCCCCAATGTACTCAAAGCATGCGCCGCTCTTAGAAGCTCTAAGCTTGGTGAATCCCTGCACGCCTGCGCCATTTCTTTTGGCCTTGATTCCGACCTTTTCACCGGCAATGCCCTCATGAACTTGTACTGCAAGTTGGGCTGTTTCCAGAACGACCTTAACCGGTCAGAGGAAATGCTAAGCAGAGATTTTGGTGGTGGATGTGTTAGCAAGCTAGGGAATTTGGAACGAAACATTTCGCGGGTGTCTGCGGGAGCTTCTCCCATGGAAAGCGTAAGGAAGCTGTTCGACGAAATGCCTGAACGAGATGTGGTGTCTTGGAACACAGTGATTGGTGGGGATGTGGAGAATGGGCTTTATGTAGAGGCTTTGAGAATGGTTATGGAAATGATCAGTGTTGGTTTGAGGCCTGACTCATTTACGCTATCAACCGTGATTCCAATATTTGCAGAGCTTGGAAATGTTTCAAAGGGAAAGGAGATCCATGGATACACAATTAGAAATGGACTGGATAGAGAAGTATTTATTGGCAGTAGCTTGATTGATATGTACGCAAAATGCACGCTGGTGGAGTACTCATATCGTGTCATGGGCTTCCTACCAAACCCAGATGCCGTTGCTTGGAATTCTATAATCGCAGCTTCTGTTCAAAATGGTCAGTTTGATGAAGGTCTTAGATTGTTCAGAGAAATGTTGGCGGTGAAACTAAAGCCTATGGCGGTGACCTTCTCCTGTCTTATGCCTGCATGTGCACACCGAACAACCCTTCATCTTGGCAAGCAACTTCATAGTTATGTTATCAGAGGAGGTTTTGATGGCAATGTATTTGTCCAAAGTGCACTTGTTGATATGTATGCCAAATGTGGAAATATATGTGTTGCCCGAAGGATTTTTGATGCGATGCCATCAGTTGATATGGTTGCGTGGACAGCCATGATAATGGGTTATGCTTTACATGGACCAGCATATGAGGCTCTCAATTTATTTCGAAGAATGGAGATGGAGAATGGCAAGCCGAATTATGTGGCCTTTGTGGCAGTTCTAACCGCGTGCAGCCATGCTGGATTGGTGGATGAGGCCCAGAAATTTTTTGATAGAATGACTAAGGATTATGGAATCACTCCTTGTTTAGAGCATTACGCTGCGGTTGCTGATGTTCTTGGTCGCGCAGGGAAAGTAGAGGAAGCCTATGACTTCATCTCCAAAATGCACATAAAGCCTACTTCTAGTGTTTGGTCCATATTGCTTGGAGCTTGCAGGGTCTACAAGAATGCAGAGTTGGCAGAGAAGGTAGCTAAGAAAATCTTTGAACTTGAGCCATCAGAGATAGCACCTCATCTTATTATGTCAAATATCTATTCAGCTTCTGGGAAATGGAAGGAAGCAGCAGATATGAGGATGATTATGCGAAAGAAAGGATTAAAGAAGCAGCCTGCTTGTAGCTGGATTGAAATTAAGAACAAGGTTCATGGATTTGTAGCTCATGATGTATCCCATCCTTGTTATGGGAATATAACCGAGGCTTGGGAAGCATTGAAGGATCAGATGAAGAGAGAAGGATATGTCCCAAACACGGAAGATGTACTACACGATGTTGAAGAAGAGCAGAAGATTGCTAATTTGTGTGGTCATAGTGAGAGGCTTGCAATAGTGTTTGGTATTATAAGTACTCCTCCTGGTACTACCATCCGAGTGACAAAGAATATTCGAGTATGTGTTGATTGCCACACTGCCATAAAGTTTATTTCAAAGATTGTTGGAAGGGAGATCATTGTGAGGGATTTTAACCGCTTTCATCATTTTAAAGACAATGGGTGTTCTTGTGGTGACTTCTGGTAGAATTAGGGCATCTCCAATGGAACGCCATACGGCCCATACAGGTGTTTGTCGTTCTTCTGTCGCTCCAACCCATCGGCATTTTTGCCGTTATTTCATCGCCGGTATTGCGTCGCATTGTTCACTCGCTACTTGGTTTTTTTTTTTAATTTGAAAATATAGAAAATGAAGTATGAGAAAGAATATATTAGGAATATTCTTTTTTTGGTGTTGGAAAATGGAGTTCGGTTGGAGACAAGTTGCTGCATTTTGAAGTGAAAAATGAGTTTTTCGGTTGGAGATGCCCTATGGTATGGAAATGCGGACCTTGAATTCCTAGAGCATTGTGGTACAAAATGATGCTTCAGGGAGTGCATTACTTTATGTGCTTCCCTTCCTGTTGATAAGCCACCACTTGTTTTACCTAGAAGCATTTATGGGCAGTTGGGCACCCTTGTTATGAAACTTGCGGGTGCTAGATCATCATCTCTTCAGCATCTTTAAAATTAGCGAGTGATTCAATGGAACCATTCCTCAGGTATTAATTTTCTGTTCATTTTATCATTTATTATGCACTTTAAAACTTTTGTCCTTTACCTTCACTCTTCTTGATAGGGAGGCAACCTGCATAGTATTAAGAAGCTCTTCAGCTTCTTTGGATATTGGTATTTTTCATGCTATAATGAGAAGTTTCCATTGGTATCCTAGACGGCCCTGCGTTGTGATGGGACAACGCACCTCCATAAAAGTGACAGAGCATTGCTCAATAAGGATTTCTTACTGAGATAGTTCACAAATTTAAGGTGAATGTGTTGTATTTTGCTTAGTCCATTGAACTATATGATAATTGAAGAATGTTCCTTTTTTATTCTCAGGTTTTACTCGTGTCTTGCAAAATGCAAAAGCTTGCATCATTCTTTTATTTGTAGTCTTAAAAGGTATGTAACATGCACATTTTTGGTTTGAGATTTTTCAGAAGTTTGGTATTATCATGTGCCATTTTTTTTAATCTAGCGGATTTATGGTATATTAAAGGGTAAGTTACATTAAACTCTTTCAGTTACTTCATGTTGGTCCACATTTTTAAAAAAATCCTTTAGTTGGGTTGCTATAGTTGATTATGTGCTTCCTTTTGGTTCTTTGACTGATCTATAAGGGGGTTGTAGAAGAATTGGAGAATTTATGCATCAATAGGTACTCTTTCTTGGACTTAGAGGATGAAATTTTATTGGTTGCTAAGAAATGGATGGCATGTTCAAGGCTAACACTAATATTGTTACTTGTTGGCTTTATTCTAGTAGCTTAATGCAACTTTTTATTAGGTGGGCAAAAGTGACCCAATATGAAACATGTATTGTAGATGAGCAATTGATACATACATAGCAAGTGGGGCAAAAGGGACCCCTAAAGAGTTAAAAGGAATCTTTATGAAATTCAATGATGATAATGTCAGGTCTACTTGGACTCTTTTGAATACTGTATGAAAGTATAGACAAATCCTTTAAAAGACTAAATATTCAATATCTGCCTCAAATGACATAAAGGATGATGTCCGATATAATTTTTATGATGTTTTTTCCAAATAATGATAAATTGATCCAATGATTAGGTCAATGTTATAATTCATTATATTATTGCATTTTAATTGTTATTGAATTTGCATAGCTTATTGAGCCTCATAGCTCACCAATATTTTCCTTACTAGCTATTTTATAGGAAAGAGAAAGGAAAAAAGTGGAATTAAGAAGACTAAGTTGCAAGTAATGAAAATTTGCATGATTTATCCCTTTTTTTCTTAATTCTGGCTAAACTTATTAAAAAGAATATATATATATATATATATATATATATATGTGTGTGTGTGTGTGCGTGCGCGCGCGCGCGCGCTTGCGTGTATCTAATAACAAGAAATTTTTTTATAAAATCTTATTATATTATATTTACTGTCAATTCCTCTACTTGCATCTACCTCAACCACCTAGCTAGTCCAGATCCCTGCCACAAATCCTATCAAATACCCCAAAATAGAAGCTGCCCATCTTCTTATCCTTGCAAACAGCTTCTCAATTCAATAAACAATAAACAAATATAACATAAGGGAATCTCCAACTGAATTCTATACCCCTATTTGGCGTCTGCAAATTTCTCCAATCGAATGGCATAGGGCACGCCATTCTCTCGTTCATGAACAGTGCGACGCAAATATTAGCGTCACCCTATTCACAAACATATTTTTAGTGGAAGTAGAGAAAGCAGAGGGGAGAAAGGCTAGTGTGTATAGTTGAGAAAGAATATACACATAATATTCTTTTTTATGTTAAGAAATAGAGTTCGGTTGGAGATGAATTACTGCATTTTGGAGTAGAAAATGAATTTTCGTTTGGAGATGATCTAAGCCTAATTCCCTCCAATTTGGATGCTACAACTTCTCCACATCTTGATTCTCCATGATGAGGACATCCGACCATGGAGAGTTTACCAGAGACGGGATCGACGACCAACAACCACAATTACACCACTTTATTTTTGAGTTATTTATTTTATTTGATTTATTGTTGTTTATTTTCCGTTTTACCCTCACTTTAGGGAGTAGGCGTTTGTGATCCCGAGGGGGCACTATTGTCTTTTGTTCTGTCATTGTATTTGGGGACTATTTATAGCCTCCTTCTATGCTTATGATGCTTAATGAATATTATTACAAGAAATTTCTGCACTTGTGTGTTTTGGGAGAGCTTGAGAGTTCTTGGAGAGATTGAAGTTCCTAGGTGAGGGCATCACAATACCCACCAACTGCAGGACGCATCCGGGTTCGTGGACGACCTCCTCTTTCCCCTTCCTCCTCCCTTTCCCCCACAAATCGCTGGCCATATCTCCCTTCCTCCCTCTCTTGGCCGAATTCCACTACCCCCACAACCTCGGCCGACCTCCCATTTTTTTCCCACCTCCAAGCTGCCAGCCGTAAGGCTCCTCCCCTTCACTTAGCCGACACCCAAACCCTAAGCCCTTCCTCTTTGTCTTCGGCCACCTCTTCCTTCCTTGGGATTCCCAAACTTTACAATCTTTGCATTCAATTACTTTCCTAAATTAGTTCCCCTAAATTTGGAAACTATTTTGAATTCAAATTCCAACATATTTGAATTTAAATTCTTTCCTAAAATAAGGGAAGTTATTTTTGGAAGGTTCCTCAAACCATGCCAATAGAATATTAAATCAGGATTGAAATTAAAAATTGAAACATGAAGGTAGAACTTGATGCGAATTAAATATAATTCAGTAAGCAAGAAACCTGGAATGAAAATGACAGCTCACTTACAGGCGACTATAGGGGACTCGTAATGAACAGAATAATTTACTTCTAAGAATGAGGTACTTGCAATGATCATATCGACCGGCCTACAAGTGGATATTACAAACTTTAATGAATGTGGTAGCTCACCTACATGCATGATTAGGGGTACTTGTAATATACACAATAGTCTCCCTATGAGCAGAAATGGGAAATTTGCAATGCACGCCAATCTACCTACGGGCACAACAAAAAACTTTGCGCACAACAGTCCGAATGTTGCAGTTTGTTGTGTCATCTTTACTCTTTCAATCGTTGGCTCCAAACTGTTGATTTGCTTTGCCCCTACTGTAGCTATAACTATAGTAGTTTATGCCAAGACATCCAAGTTTGTGAAAAGCCTCAGTCATTGGTGTGCCTCTTAGTTCCAAGTGATACCAAACTTGACCCAAAAGTCGCAATAAATCTTGGATAAGACAAAGAGGGCTATAATGTCCTCTTGAGGATAATCCCTGAAGCTCCTAACTCAAATACTTCCATTATTGACTCAATTGCTTAATTAGATAGGTTAAGGACCAAAGTTTGATCTTATTATCTCCCGCTTAATCCAAGGGTTCTAGTGAGTCATCTTCTTGATATGCACGTTAACATATATGTTATATTGAAGTCAAAAGTAAACCAATCAATTTAAACCCTTCCTAATTAATGGGCCAACCTAAATCCAACAGGCCAATTAAATTAAACCAAACTGGTTAACTTGCCTAAGTTAAGGCTGTAAGGCCCATTGTTAGGATTTCCTTGATATCAAGGTTGGAAATCCACTCTCTCCCCTTGAAATAGATATAAGCCTCTTCCCAATTAATGTGGCTTAAATAAAGCTAATAAACTCGTCGAACTAAAGTAATCGGGCCACCCTACCTAGCCGGCAAGGTAGTGGACCCATCAATCTGTTTTCCTCATCCTTGAGATAATTAGTCCCTCCTATTAGCCTTCCCAATCCTTTCCAATCAATTTAAGTTAGCACAAGGCCTATAAACCCATTAGATCTGAAGTTGAGCCTTTGAATGATGCAAAACCCAACCTAATTTAAACTCGGGCGAACTACCATCCTAATTAGTCAATCAATCAAAACCAAATCGACCAATTAAAACCACATAAAGATCCCATATGTGTAACAAACATTCTCTTCAAATCAAATGAAATCCGTTGACAAGTGATATTTATGCTATGCATTTAAGCTCTTGTCAAATATGTACAGTACATCCAAACAAGCAACTTTACTTTGTCTTTAAATTATTTAATGAAAAAGTGTATAGTCTCTTTCTCACAACACACGCCTAATGCTTTGGATTTGGCCCAAATCCTGAAGATCCCCAATGTTTCAAACAAATTTACATACCTTGGCATCCCTATTTCCTCAGGGAAGATCAAAATCTCAGATTTTAACCCCCTTCTGGAAAAGATTAATCTTCTCCTCACTGGTTGGAAAGCTAATACTTTGTCCTTAGCTGGCAGAATGCAGTATATTAAATACACAATCTCAAACACTGCGGTGTATTGGGTTAGAGCTATCTTTGTCCCTAATACAATCATTAAAAGCATTAGTAAAGCATGCGCCATATTTCTTTATTTTGGTAATACTATTGGGAAAAGGATGCATCTTATTTCTTGGGAGAATACCTGTAAACCCTTGAGTAATGGTGGGCTTGGTATTCCATCTATTTTAGCTATGAGGTTTGCATATAACTGCTTTATCATTAGCAGAATGTACAATAATTCAAATCCTTTGAAAAGTAACGTTACTCTTTGAACCAGATTTTGGAAGGGTATTTGTCATTCTGCTATTCGGGTTAGAGAAAATTTCCTCTTCTCTCCTCATCGTTTATGCAAGGCATCGATTATGTGGGATCATTGGTGTATGGGGGAAAAACTGTCTAATAAATTCCCTGAAATTTCCTCTCTCAATTTTTGCAAGGATAATGAATCTATTGATAGTTGGATACAAAATGGGAACTGGTGCATACCTGACTCTATTAGGGAAGACATCAGAAACTTTATCTATAACATTACTCTAGCTCTGGATCACACTTGTAGCCTCACCTGGAAAGGCAATACTAAGCACTCGTATAAAGATTATTACTTGAAATTCTTTGAAACTCAAGACTCTGTGGACTGGTCCCATCTTGTTTGGCATAAGAGGCATTCTCCTATATTCTCTATTTATACTTGGATGACTCTTTTTGATAAGATTAAAACAGCTGAGGTTTTAGCTTGGAAAGGCATTTATATTGATAATCCAAAGTGTTACTTCTGTCAGGATAATCTGGAATCCAATCGGCATTTATTTTTTGAATGTCATTATTCATATAAAACTCTTATTAGGCTTATTCCTACCTTGCAAAACTTTTTGTTAAGGCCCAATGTGTCTCAGGCCCTTGATTTTATTGAAGGCTTGCCGGGTGAAAATAAGAATAAGTCATACAGTCTCTTATTATTCAATGCCACTGTATACCATTTATGGAGGGAAAGGAATAACCAAAGGTTTAATTCATCGGCTAAGTGTTTTACTACTTTGGCATCCGAAATTGCAAAGGAAGTGAGAATAAAGTCGTTGAAATGGAAATGGAAATAAAAATTACTCTTTGGCACTGGGTTAGTGCTCTCTATTAGCTATGATATCTGGATTTCAGATTTCTTTATCTGGCTATGGAAGCACATTGTGAAGGCTGCTTCGCTTGTTTTCGCTGGGTCTCTTTTTGATCGAATTTACTGTCAGGCTTTGATGGACTTTTATCAGCCTGAACGATGATGATAGCCTGACTTTAAATACTCTAGGAGGGTCTTCGGGCAACCAGAGTATATGCTTTCTGTTATTCAATCTAGTCTAACTGAGTTCAGAGCTCGACGAAGGAACTAAGTCTTTTCTTCCGAGTTTTATTCTGTCTGTATACTGTTTTAGCTATCTCCTTCTGTATTTCTCTTTGTTGTCAGAATTTACAGTCATTTACCTTTTTCATTGTATTTTTATTTTTCCTATGATGAATAAAAGGCTCTGGCCAAATTTACCCAAAAAAAAAAAAAGTTATAGCTAGTCCTACGCCTGTAAATGAGTTGATATCAATCTCAATAGCTCATCCTAACCCCATATATTTCCACTCTGATCTGCTCAATATACCGAAGATGTGGCAATACATAGTTTCTAATCAAGATACTTGTCTTTTAGGAATTAAAAACTTCTAACAAAAGCAAATTGGGACCGTTGGTTTACATGGGATGAAAAATCATTATATTTTAATCAGTTTAATTGCATCTCCCTAGCATTCCCCTTAAATTAAATTTTGAATATTAAGACTTTGTTTGGGACAACTTTTTTATTTTTCATAAAGTATTTTTTTTTTAATAAAAATTTTTTGAATTTGAAATTTTTGTACTAGAAAGCGGCTTTAGAAAGCATTAAGAAAGCCGCCCCAAATGAAGCCTAAATCTAAGCCTAAGTAACTTAATCAAGAGTGTTTTCTCATGAGTAGGAGAGATAATGACCTATGGGTGCTTTTGCTAATAGAGGGTCTCGATGCTAGATCTAAATAAATGCTGATACAACATCAATGAAAATCTTATTAAAATAAACCCTATGAGTCTAAAGAAAATTGACCCTAACTTTTCTATCACATATCATGGAGGCTCCAACAAAGGCGTTAGTTTTGCCTTGTGGTTGTGATTTTCCTAGACCATATAATCCTGCACCCCTGCATGAAAACTATGCTTGTTTGTGTGCATTCGGTGATAGTAGTTTTCATTACTAGACAAGAAACTTTATGTTAGACCGGTCCAGCCGGTCTATACAGGGCTGGCTTACAAGACCGGTCCAGCCGGTCTATACAGGGCTGGCTTACGAACAACAGAGGCAGAGAGTTCCGTCTCGTGCATGCCGATCAAACCATCAATTTAAAAAGAGCTGTTTAGGAAGATTTTTTAGGAAGTTTGCTGAAATTAGAATTTCTTAGGTTATTTGGGCTCTAGCCGGAGGCTAGAGATTTAGGAAAGCCGGATCTTCCTCTCTAATTGAAGATCCAACTGTATCTTGCTATTTTTTTCATATATCTTTTAATAAAAATAACTTTGATGTTTTCTTTCCTAATTTCTTATTGCCCAAAGACAACCTGAAGCTCTCTTATGCTATGTATCTTTATCTTTTTAAACTGGGAGAAGCAAATCAAAGGAATTCTTTCTTCCTGATTTTCAGGATCTGTGTCCTCCCGGTTAATCTCATTTCCTGCTAATGATTTCTTCTTGCAACCCGTGATTAATCAATTAATCACAAGGCTTTGGTTCTTATCCCATCTTCTAAAAAATCATTTATGAACGGATGGTGACGTTCCTTTTTTATTGCTTCTTGACTAGTTTTGCAGCCAATTTGAAGCATCAACCATCATCGCTCCAAAAGATTCTTCCAGGTTTGTCAATATTACCCGTAATCTATTTGAAAATTCTGTTCATGTGATGCTATCTGGCGCTGTATCTTCTCCCAGATTTCATCCTTATCAGTTGAAGGAGGAGGGATCAAAGCAGTTTTATGAATTAAAAATGTATGAAAGCAGCTGCAGGCCTCAAAACAGCTTCAGGCCTGCTGCTGCTTTCTTTCCATCAAACACATTGATGATTATGATGTTGTTTGGGACGTCTTTTTTATTGCTTTTCAAATTAATTTATTCGTACAAAAATTACAATTTTTTTAAAAAACAGTAAGAAAGTCGTCCCATGGGCTTTGTTTGGGACTGTTTTCTTACTGCTTTTTAAAACAACTTTTTAGTATAAAAATTTAAATTTTTAAACTAAAAAAACTGTTTTAAGAAGCAATAAAAAAATAGTCCCAAACAAAGCCTATGATACAAGTTTATTTAATTAAAATTTGTGTTATACTAATTTAAAAGTAAGTTCAGTAGATATAGAATCCTCCTATCAGTATTTGATCAGATATGCTGGTCCAAATTTTGTCCTATATCTCGCTTTCAGCTTTTGATTTTGCCTGAAGCAGATTGATACCATGCAGGATTTGCTTTGATTATAAAATTGTTATTTCCTTTCACTCCAAGCTTTAGTTTATTTAATGAGGAGATGATAAAATTATTAACATATATGAGAACTATTCTTTGTCTTGTAATGTATTTTTTGATATGAATTTTTTTTTTTAATGTTTTTATAAAAATATATATAGAAATTATTGTTCAAATGTATACTTTGAAGTTCTAAAATGAGATTAAGTAGTGGCAAAAAGGTAATTTTACAATGGTGTTTGGACGATAGTGATTATGGTCATCCAATCTTCGTTGCTTAACCACAATCATTTAACCACCACTATTTGATTATCATATTTCATCCTCCATTATTCGATTATTGTCATCTAATTATTATCGTCCAAACATCATTGTCTGGTTGACATTGTCTGTTTGTCGTCATCATCTATGCACTACTTCTCTCATAAGCTCTGCTATAGCTACAGGAGCCCAAGCAAGTGCTCATAGCTAGAGGTATAAACAAGCCGAGTATCCGCCTAATCAAGCTAAACTTGTTTAGCTGTTTGCAAGCTCGAGCTCGACTCATTAAAAAATTCATAGACTTGAGCTCGACTTGTTAAATATTTCATAGGCTCGAGCTTGACTTGATTGTTCGAACACGTTTAGAAAGCTCAAGTTTGACTTGATTTCTTATTTTTAAATTAAAAAAAAAATCTATTTTTTCTGATTTTTAATATTTTAATATAGAATTAATTTAACATTATTAAATTAAATTATAGAAATTCTAGTTTAAATTAATTTTTAAATACATTTTAATTTAACCGCAACAATCACAAATAAATATTTTAATTTTTTTTAAATCCTAACTAATCTAAGTAAATAAATAAT